AGCCTTCGGGATGGAGGTGTGTTTTGGTATTAAAATGATATTAAAACGAGCAAAGTTCACGAGAGGGTAGCACTTTGGCAAGGTTTTGAAAACCTGTTGGCTCAGGGGGCCAGATGAGCTGCTTATCAGTTCCAGAGGACCATTTCTTCCAGCTTTATCATCACAGAACATGGCCACAGAATCTCCACTCCGCTCCATCCTCTATGGTATGTTGCAGGGAGTTGCTGTGTTAGTGGATTCCTCGCATGCCTGCTGCAGCTGTGTCCCATCCTCAGAGCTCCTTTTGATATTATGCTTTTCCTCAATGGGTGAACAATGCTACGTTTTTCATATAAACTTTAATTTTCAGATGTAAAACCTTAATTTTACTAATAATTCCACACTACTGTACACATTAGGGCTTTTCATTCTCAGTGTTGATATTGCTCTTATAAGAGTTTTTTAAAAACTTACAGAAGGAAGAAACTGGGGATTTTTTAATAATAGTACTTAAGGAAACTGATTTGCATTCTCATATGATAAAATAACAGCCTTGAGAATAATTTTAGGTGGGTGAATACGAAGTGAACTTCAGTGTTACCAAGGTTTTGCATGATTGCAATGAAAAGCCTTAGCTCTAGATTCCACTCTCAGTTCTATGGTATCAGGACTAACAGTCTGGCTTGCAGCACATGTAAATCCAGATGTACAGTGGTGTAGTTGAGGGCAGAGCTAGACAATGAATAGTGGTTTTATTAAAGTGTGACCTGTGAGATTTAATGCTAGAATGTGATGAGGTTGTAACTATTGAGCACTGACTGCTGATCTTCTCCTTGTGTAACACTGTTGATTCAGGAGTTCTTATTCTGGAATTACACCAATGTAACTCAGGACTGGAATGTCCTACTCTGCCAGCCTTGGCCATATGCTTCTCGTGTAATGACACCCATTTGTATGTGTGTATATACATATTCATATTGTTTGTGCACATGTGTATGTATTCACTAGGTATCTATGTGGATAGAAAATAACATTCATGTCATAAGAACACTTTGAGAACTTTAAAGCAGTTGTGCAGAAAACAGGAAATAACTGGAATGATAGCTTGACCAGTAACTCTTACTGTGGTCCTCAAAAGCATGTTAATGTGCTAATACTTATACCGACTCTGTAATAATTTCAAGTGGCAATGAAAATTGAGTGCAATGAGCTGTTGAGTCTTCATTGTGCACCTTTTAACTGATACTTCTGATTACAGGCTAGTCTGGGGGCCCCAGGTTCACCTGGCTCTGTTGGGAAGTTAGGTGCAAGAGGAGCAAAGGTAAAGATTTTTAAGGTACCTAACTGCAGCAATCTAACAGCGTCATTTGTTCAAGATCCTGACTGAAGAAGCATGAACTAACACTTGTGTTGTTCCTATGGAACATTTGAAGAACGTTAAGTTTTATAGACATTTTTAGATTGCATGGAAAGGCAAATGATGTGTTCAAGGTAATCTTACAGATGTCAGAGCTACACTAAGAAGATTTCAGTGTTGCCATGACTGCTGTTGTAGTTGCTGTTGTGGTCATGGTTCTCAGTGGGGCCTGGCTTCTCACAAAATGCAGTAGGGATATAGCAGTGCTGACCCTTGAGCTAGTTTTATGATTTCTAGAATCTGTTCAATCCATTGAAAATATGTGCCAGTTAATCATAAAATCATAGAATATCTTAAGTTGGAAGGGACCCATAAGGATCATCAAGTCAAACTGCCTGCTGCTTGCAGGACTACGTAAAACTAAACCATATGACTAAGAGTGTCATCCAGATGCAACTTGGACTCTGACAGGCTTGGTGCCATAGCTGCTTCCCTGAGGAGGCTGTTCCAGTGACTGACCACCCTCTCAGTGAAGAAACTCTTCCCAATGTCTGATCTGAACTTCCCGGTTCAGTGAAGCATAGCTGCTTATTTTAACCTTTTTGTTCTAAAGATTCTTAACCAGTTCAAGCAACCTTGACTGTTATAATGTTTATTATAAAGGAATGAATGTGTTCAGAAGAACTGAAGCAACAAGGCCAAGTACAAGGTCCTGCACCTGGGTCAGGGCAACTCCCGGTATCAATGCAGTCTGGAGGATGAAGGGATTGAGAGCAGCCCTGCTGAGGAGGACTTGGGGGTACTGGTGGATGAAAAGCTGGACATGAGCCACCAATGTGCGCTCGCAGCCCAGAAGGCCAACCGTATCCTGGGCTGCATCAAAAGCTTTAAACTAAGGGAGGGTAGAGTAAGACTAGATATAAGGAAGAATTTTTTTTACGAGGGTGGTGAAACACTAGAACGAGTTGCCCAGAGAGGTAGTGAAGGTCCCATCCCTGGAAACATTCAAGCCCAGGTTGGAGGGGGCTCTGAGCAACCTGGTCTAGTTGAAGATGTCCCTGCTTACTGCAAGGGGCTTGGGCTAGGTGACCTCTACAGCTCCCTTCCAACCCAAATCATTCTATGATTCTATGAACATGAAGTTAAACAGAAAGGCTTATACTAATAAGTGGTCCACATTATGGTTCACTTACTTATACTAAATGTTATCCCTTACTTTCCTTTCATTAATGCACAGTGATATGGGAGAATTACTTTATTAAATAAAAATAATTAATTTTAGGTGTTGTTGCATCTCTGGATCTAAAAGGCATAAATATTACCAGGTAGATAAGCCTTTCAGTCTCTTTGAAGGTTTATTACATTCAGTGTATTATTACATTCAGTGACAGGGAACTATCAGAAGGTCCAAGTGCTACTGTGAGAAGAGTCACTGTGTGAAAACATACAGTGAAACAGTGACAAAAAATTGGGAAGACACATAGTGATGTAATCCATCATGCATTCCATTTTCTTAGTGTGGTTTTGTGCTGTTTAGCATTTGGGTTCTTGTTAGAAGAAAGTTCATTAAGAAAGTGAAAACCAAAAAAGGAACTGAAGAAAACTTGCAAGAGGACTCGGAGCACAGTCAGCCTGGTGACAGTCAGCCTTTGAGAAATATCATCTGCTATCAACAGGTGCTTCAGGCTGGTAGAATTCCAGGCTATGTCCTGCTACCATTAATATAACTTTTTCCAGAAAACACTCTTTTCAATGGTAATTCTGTATAACAATGGGAGTTTTATTAAATGAAGGCCTTTGGGGTTTAGCTGCATGAATGCGCAGAATATTCTGATTTGCCAAGTACTTTCCAGTTCCATCCCAAGGAACCTTCTATGAAGCATGGTCTGTAATGCAGTGCTTCTGACTGGCATCAAATAGTCTGTAAAATGTTTAAGCACCCTTCAGTCTAGCAGACAAGTTTACATTTCAGAAACAATTCTCCTGAAAAAGGCAAACTAATGTCTTTTATGTTTCAATTGTAACAGGGTGAACCTGGTGACCCTGGAGAGAAGGGCCTAGTGGGACCAGCTGGACAGAGAGGCATGCCTGTGAGTCTTTCTGCATTAATTCAGGGCCCCTGTAGTTTAATACCTATCCATCTGATTCAGTACCGTTCATTCCCTTCTATTTTCTCTATTTGATACAATTAAAATTATTTCTAGTTTCTTATGGACACCAGATTCCTTATGGGCTAGAGAGGATATCTTTCCCCTCAGGTTCTCTAGGAGGGAGAAAATATTCTAAAGGTAGGGCACACAGTGGAGAGGAACTGTGGTCTTAATCCTTGTTTTCTCTCTACAGATGTTGCTACCATTTGCTACTGTTTCTAGACTGTGCTGTGATAACTTGCCCTACTTCATCAGCCTTAACAGCCTGGGCACTTCATTGTAGTGGGAGATCTTTATTCCAAAATGGAATTGGATGTGAATCTAATACTCTGTTAAAAGCTAACTCATGGTATATTCAATCTATGCAGGGAATGGATGGCAGAGATGTCTACGGTCCTGAAGGAAGCAAAGGAGCAAAGGTGAGTGCTTAGAGTCAGGATGTCTCACAGTCTTCATTCTGCAGTGTCAAATCAAACATGACCATCCATATTCAATTCAAAAGAAATATAAGACATGGTCACAGTGCATTTCTGACATTCAGTAAGAGGCTCATCCTTCCCACAACCATCCTTCTGAGAAATTCTGCAATAGGATATTCTTCTGAGAACCACTCTCTCTTACTCTTTCTCTTGATGTGTGTATGTGTATGGATATGAGGGATCGTACTTCCTGGAATACGCAGTGCTTCCTCCCTACTTCAGTCTGCCTGACTAGCCACTCTTGTTGGCATGTGTTGGTGGGCCAGCCACCCTCTGGAGGACTTTTATTTTTATTTCTTGCAGAGGAGGGATTCCTTGACTACCAAGGTGAGGATGATACTCTCCAAAGATCCTTGCTTTTTTAATGTGAAATGTTATTGTGTTCTTATGGTCAGCAACAAGATCTGAGGATTAACCTCTATATTGCTACATATTTAGAAATTCGTATCATTCTCTTCACAGCCCAGAAAAAAATAGCAGTGAAATGTCTACTTCTCTAAAAACATACAAGAATCCAGCTAAAATAGAAAGTATGAGGTCAAAATCATGGCGCTAGTGGCACCGATGGGTCAATCCGTGGTCAGGATGTTGGAAACAGCTGCGGTCTTCCTTTCAAAGAATTTTTGTAGTGTTACGATACTAATACTTTCCTGTTGCTTGTAAGACAGAAGTGGTCCAATGGATCTCATTGGAGGCCCATCTGTTTCACTGTCCCTTTTGTGGGTGAAGCAGAGTGCTGCAGAAGCTGCAGAAAAGATATGAAAGGCTTCCCAGGAGCCTCTCCAAATGATGAGCTCCTTTTTCTAAAATGGCTTTTTATTAAAATTACTCTTGATGCTTCTTATTATCCAGTCTCTTTTCTTACCTTCTTAGCCCAAATGATTTCCTTTGACGGGAGAGTTTCACAGCTTACACATACGTTACATACAAGACTAGTTCTTTTAATCTCTTGGAATCTCTCACTTGTTAATTTCAGGGAACATCCTCCTGAAAAGAGGAAAAAAGATTTCTTTTAAATCTTCATGTCATTGTTCATTGTTTTGAAGGATTGGCTTGAAGCCCTTCTTATACACCGATGTGTCTGCCCAAGGTTTGGCAGGGCCTGAATTAAAGCAATTAATAAAAATAAACAAAAAACCAGTTCACCCCAGAATAATGATCCAGAAAGAGTTGGTTTCTCCTGAATAGCTAAGAGAACAGCCTTTAGTATAAGCTTTACTTAAGGTTGCTAGTAATTATACAGGTTCATAGTCACATTACACTCTCTTAGGTGTAATATGGGGCCTATGTGCATGTAATTTTCTAGAAACTGTAGGATAAAGTCATATGATATTTGACAAGCACGTCCACTTTCATGGGAGGGAACTCTTAAGGACATATGTAAGTATCAGTAAGTAACTGATGGTTACTCTGATGTCAAGAAAAGATACACTTCAATTCTGACTAGTCTTTGCGAGAGTTCTCCTATTTCTCATATAGGAACGAAGAATACACCAAAAACTGAAGTAACTGAAAACAATTAATGAAATGACTTCTAATATACCAACAACATTTTGAGGGCACAACATTTTGAAACTACATTCAAACACTCAGTTCTGAATGATATACTTTACTTATGATCGCTGGACATGAATTCCACTGTATGTTACTAGGAGGCCTGCAAAAGTTTTGATAAAACATTCATTTGAGAAATGGAATACACTTGAAAATTCAGAAACTGTTGGAAATTTTTTTAATGTTCTTCCTTTAGGTGAACAAGGTGTTAATCTAAAATGGCGTCATCTGAGACCAGAGTAGTAGCCACTGTTACCTGAATGGAGTTGAATGCTAAAAATAATTTTGAAATTTTTTTTGGTTTAAAGACATCAAACACTAAGCGAAACACAAAGTTCTAGACTCTTATGAAGTCTTTGTCCTCCTTTTGATAGGGAGAATCTGGATTCATAGGATATCCTGGTCCAGAGGTATGATTAAATGTGCATATTTGCTTTCTTTATGTCTTGTTTTACATTATTATTATATGGAAGTGGTTATCTCTCTCTCTCTCTGTGTTCTCCTTTCCTATAAAGCCATAGAATAGTTTGGGTTGGAAGGGACCTTTAAAGGTCATCTAGTCCAACCCCTCTGCAATGAGCAGGAACATCTTGAAATAGATAAGGTTGCTCAGAGCCCTGTCCAACCTGACCTTGAATGTTTCCAGGGATGGGGCATAAGTTCTGGATTTCATTAATTTTCAGGGAGAAGATGGAGACCCGGGCATTCCAGGAGCTGAAGGACCCAAAGGAGTTAGGGGCAGAAGAGTAAGAATGATACATCTGTTAACTCTGTGAAGAGTTCTATAAGTAAAGCCCTTATATCTTAAGTGTTTCCTCACCAAAAATTTTTTAAATTGTTTCCCACTATGATCTTCTATTGCCATATCCTGGGCAAAAGGTCTTGAGAGAATGCAGGTCTAAGTCTGTAGAGAATTTTGTTGCTATTAACTCTTATGGACAATAGTCTATCTATAAATAAATGCAGGATCCAACTCACAGTATAGTTACAGAGGTTTTTATTTGCTGAAATTCTGCACCTGTGTGTGCGGTTATAAAGAATAAAACTTGTATTTCTATTTTTAGGGTAATGCTGGCACACCAGGTTCCCTGGGAGATCCGGGAGACCAAGGGCCATCAGGACCTATGGTAATATATTTTTATTTTAAAAAATCACTCTTAGATTGCTTTTCAACTTGCTATTATATTAATAGAATATTTAATAATATTTCATCTGATAAACTATGCTTAATCCGCCTGGCAGTTGTATAGAGTTACGTCTTGCCTGTGGATGTATGTGCCAAAGAGCACCTGCTGTTGAAAATGGAATTGGAATGATACAATACAGGGCAGGATTTCTTCCACAGTATTTGGTTCTGGTTTTAGGCTGGGTAAATGTAGAACTCGATTGTTCTGCTGAAAGCCAATGTATTTTTTTATTGTAAAAAGAAAAGCCATTTAAAACCAGACTTGCAATTACAGGAACTTACTTAAAGCTTAAATTGACTGTACCCTGTTAATCCTTATACACAAGTAGATGTCTTGATGTCCTTGTCCAGTGTCTGTAATCTGCATTTTATATAACAAAAAGTTTTATCCTCTGTCTAAGTGGGGGAAAGGATCATGGATTTCAGTAGGATTTAGTACTAACATTGCAGGCGGTTAGGAAAATCCCCTGTATGTGTCTATATTGCAACAGTTCTGCAAGTCAGCTCCATGGTGACCAGAAACAATCCTTACTGTTAATTATTTTCTTAAACTTTCTTAAGCTTACTCTTTTAGTTTAAATATTGATTACATCATTGATAACAATATCTTCACATGTATTATGTGGCCCACAGGATACATGCAACCGAGAAAACAACTGAGGGTTTTTTTGTTATTACATGGTGCTGATTGATGAATGTACCTGGCCCACTTTATTTTATGATGCTGGACACAAGAATGACCAAGAGTGCCAGGTGGAATGCATTGCCCTCCCTGCTGCTTGACTGCTAACATACATTATAGACAGACAGACCTTGTGTGCTGATGAGCCAGATAGCTATTGGCCTTGCCAGTCCATGGTCCAAGAAGTCTGCAGAGACATTTGAAGTTCAAGATCTCCTCTTCAGATGTAGAAGTGAGAGTGGAGCTTGGGAAGTACGGGCTTGATGGGATTATTGTAGTAGCAGTGCATCAGTGACATGGGAAAGTGGGAATTCTGAGGAAGTGGAAGAGACAGGGATGCAGGAATGGGTACAGGTAGCAGGCAGGGCCAGCCAAAACAGGCCTGTTTAACCCATCCTCCCTAACTTGGTGGTGTGATTATCCGTATGGGTCAAGTCTGCACAGCTCAGTCGCCACTAATAAGCTGCTGCAAGTATCATTCATTAGGGCTCAGGAAATTCACAGTTAACTCTTGCTGAACAGTTCCAAAGAAGAACTGGGACCTGCTGGGAAACATAAGAAGATAAAATCATGGAATGGCTTTGATGGTGCTCGCAGTAAGACAGGAGAGATGATGAGGAAGGTAGGTCAGGCAGGAAATGGAGGAATGAAATGTTAATTGGAGGGGGAAGCAACAAATATGGAGATGAGGTTGTAATTTGGGGACATAAGGAAGTACATGATTTTGGTAAACTCTAGTCTTATGGTAGAGAGAGTCTAAGGTAAAGGTTGTGGGGATGCAGAGTTCAAATTTTTCTGGTGTATCTTACTGCAGCCCCCTGTGAGTAAGTGAAAATTTTCAGTAGTCTTGCTGCACATCTGAATTACACATATGATGAAAACTTTCAAGCTGCTTTGAAAAAAAGTTCTCTGTATTTTATTCCTGTTATGAAGATTAAACAATATTTTTTTGGAAACAAGATGCTTGGAATCCTGGCATTTGCCTACAGCTCCGAAAGGGAAGGCTGCAGAGTAGCCAAAGCTAGCTAGGCTGGTTGAGCAGTCGTGATGTGTGTATGGTCTTGTGGGATCTCTTGAGGTAGAATTGTGGGTGTTGTACCCTGCGAGAGGAGAGGGCAACCCTATTGCACATCAGAGGTTGAAAAGGATGTAAGGTGCAGATAACTGAACCACAGCACAGAAACTGCTGTTTAGAAAGGAAATCTAATTCTGAATTATACCGGTCCTCAAGGACAACAAGCATTGAACATCTACAAAACCAGGAGGGAAAATGGACTGAGAAGTAGAAGTAGTCTACCACTCTGTTAGCAACAGGTCCACAGAAATCCATGCTGGGAACTGATGTCTCCTCATATTTCATATGC